GGCTCGTAAGAAACTCGTTAATCGAGGGATTGCTCGTTAACCGAAGGTAAGAATCTTATGGAAGGTAACTCGTTAACCGAAATCTCGTTAACCGAGGGACCACTGTACTAATGCATTCCAAGACCATATCCATGCCGAGTTATATGAAATTCTGAGTTATCAAATGTCTAGCTATTGAGGGTTTACTCTAATATAAAATAATGAAAACAAGTAAAGTATAAAAAAAAAGTAGTGAATATTATCACAGATATAAAGTAACGGCTTACATGGTAAGTCAAATGTCTGAAGCAAACTCACAACTCTCTGTGCCTCCTTTCCCAGCATTCATAAACCATATTACAATGTCCACAAAAACTGCGATACCCTCTTTTTTTCTTCTTTTTTTAAGTTAGTGGTATGCAAAAAACTTGTGAAAGTAGGAATATAATAAAACAAATATTTGTATTAGTACTTCAGATATAATATTTGATGATCCTACCCTTAGTTTTAATGACCAACTGGAGGCATTTGGGCATTGATGCTGACAGAATCTTGAAATAGTCTGCATCCATATTGTGTAGCCACATTTCTTTTAAGGAGTTGATGAGGCGAGGCACCAATGCTGCGTCACAGTCATGAAGCTTTCTTTTCTTGTAAGACGAACAATTTTCAATTGGATTTAAGTCAGGCGAGTTGCCTGGCCAATCCAAAACCTGTGTATCATTTTCTCGAAGAAAATTAGTCACTTTTTTGGCCATGTGGCATGAGGCAGAATCATGCATAAAAAGGGGGCACCTGTGGCTGTCATAAAATGTGAGCATATGGTCCCCTAACACCTCAATACAGTGGTCCCTCGATTAACGAATGGTTCAATTAACGGTATTTCGGTTAACGAATTAGCTCCCATAAGGATATTCAGTTCCATTAACGAACAAAACTTCGATTAACAATAACCTTAGGAGAAACACGCTTTGTCGTGCACATCAGCTGATCAGCTGATCGGTTAGTCCGCCAATACAGTACTGTAATTGGTTCTATGTTTTCATTTGTTCCCAGTGGAGTAAATATCAAGAAAGTTGTACTCCTGAATATTTATGCATTTCTTATATTAAAATTATTGGTCAATCTGAAATTTAGTTCACATATTGATAATATACACAGTACAGGGAACAGTTTTTGTGTGCCCTTCAGCTGATTGAATCACCCACCAACGCTTCTCAGTTTAACTTTGTTTACAGTGGAGTGAACATCAAGTTTATTGGTCTCTTGAATATTTTTGTATTTTTGCATTAAAATTATTGGTCATTCTGAAATTTAGTTAACATATTGATAATATAAAGTGCAGAAATTATTATGAAACATGAAGAAGGCATTAGAACCAATGCACTCTGTAAAGAATATGGCATATCATCATCGACTGCTTCTGCAATCAGCTGTTTAATATGTAAACAAAGCTGCCGGTAATAGGACATACACACCTCAAAGTAAGATAAAATACAGTATTATATTGTTGTTGTTTTTTGTACTGTACTGTATACTGTACTGTACACTGTAGGGTGTGTCATAGGAGGGAAGATCAGCTAAAACTAATGGCCCATCACTTTTTTGGTAGATTTTAGTGTATATAAACAGAAAATAATTTCAGTTTCAATATTTTGCAACCTTTTGCTAGGTAAATTTTAGCGTGAAATTTATCGAAAATCTAACGTACAGCTGCATTAGTGCATTACAATTAAATAGTGAACATTGCTTTCTGACTTCATTCTTTAACAACCCAACTAACAATATTTTTTTCTGTTTCAGATTCTGATGCATTTATAAGTTGATAATATTTGCGATGGCTGCTTGTGTCAGGACGAGGAACCAAAAATCCAGCCATCTCAGTCACTATCTTGGGTCTGGGAGAGAGCTCCTGAAGTCGGAGTTGCCTACATTGAGAGATGCTTTGAGATACGGTGTTTTAATCAGGCAAATCAGTGAAAAGAACCAAAGAACTTACACAAACAAAGACATTGCCAGTGATATGACCAAAGCTGTCTTGGCACAGTACACTCTGGCTAACGCTCAGTTCAAGCCTCCAGTCATAACAAGTCAGAAGAAGATTAGTGAGAGACTGCTAGCCAGTTGGGAAAAGGCAAGAGATATCTCTCTTGGGAGAGGAAAACTTGCAGTTAAGGACAGCTTTGCCAAGCAACTGGACCAGTTATTTGACATAATTACTTGCAAGTGCCCAATTGTTCTCTGTCCTGAGTTTGATGCGATCGTGACTGTAAATCCGAGGCCCACATCTCCTGTATTTGCAAGCGTGAACTGAAGATTCCTGTGATCAACTGGCATTTGTCAAAGCACAGAGAGGAAAGACTGGTAGTATAGGGGCTCTCATGATTTCTAGCCAAGATATTCGGAGTCCAAGAGACAGGAGGCTGCCACAGAGAGACAGAAGAGGAGAAGAGTTGCCGAGGAAAAGAGACTTGAGAAGGCCCAGGGTGAGGTAAAAAAGGCCGATGATTGGAGT